TGGGGTCCCTCCCACGGGAGCCAGGCCTCCATGGACTTCTCCAACGTGAGTCCTTCCCACGGGCTGCAGTTCTTCACGGGCTGCTCCAGCCTGGGTCCCCCACGGGTGCCGTCCTTCAGGAACAGGCTGCTCCAGCCTGGGTCCCCCGCGGGGTCACAAGTCCTGCCAGCAAACCTGCTCCAGCCTGGGCTCCTCTCTCCATGGCTTCACCATGGTCTTCCCCAGGGGCTGCCAGGGAACCTCTGTTCTGGCACCTGGAGCCCCTCCTGACCCTCCTTCTGCACTGACCCTGGTGTCTGCAGGACTGTTCCTCTCACATCTTCTCACTTGTCTCTTCTGACTAAGTTGTGCAGGGTTTTTTTCCCTCTTCTTAAATCTGTTATCCCAGAGGTGCGGCCACATTCGCTGATGGGCTCGGCCTTGGCCAGCAATGGGTCCATCTTGTAGCCAGCTGCATTGGCTCTGTCGGACACAGGGGAAGCTTCTAGCAGCTTCTAACATAAGCCCCCCCCCTGCAGCTCCCCCACTACTCACACCTTGCCACACAAACCCAGTACACCATGCCAGGCAGCTAATTTAAATCTCCCTTGCTGCAACTTAAGTCTATTTAAGTCCTTTTTGAAGTCAGCCTGGAGAACAGATTTCTCCTTTTTTGTCTCTTATTTACCTTCTATGTATTATTTTCTTCTGCAGACTGACAACTATATGTTCTTAGAAGTCATGGGTTTAGACCTTTAATGATCACTTCTGAATTGTCTCCAGGCAGTCCATCACTTGCCGCAAGCAATATGCTCAATTCAGTACTCATTTGAATGACAATTTCAACTGGAATGAAAGAATCCTTTTGAAATTTATATATTATATACTTCTTTAAACTGCAAAGTAGGTTGTTGGTCTCTTTTCTGCAATAACATGCTTGTTAACTTCAGTAAGCTTGCAGTTATTGTCTGCTGTAATTCTGCTCCTCTGAACTACTGTCTACAGTCATTACCATCCTGTATTTGTGCAACTGACTATTCCTACTCTTCCCAGATTTTAATTTCAGTTCTTTATATGTTTTTCCTTGTTATCTCATTTATTGTATTTTTTTCTTTCAGACAAGCAAAAGCCATGTATTCATGTAAGGCTGAGCATAGTCATGAGCTGTCTTTCCCACAGGGGGCAATATTTTCCAATGGTAAGATATCTTTTACATTCTCTTTTTACTTAAAAAAAGCTATAAAAAATTGAACTGTATCCACAAGATAACAGAGCATAATTCCATTTTCAACTCAGTTTTTGCCCTGATTTTTCAATTGCTCTTGAAAAAATACTGCCTCAATAAATATATGAACCATATATAGGATCTTTTAAGAGTGTTAATTTATTATAAACTTTTTTTTTTTGCTGGCTGTTGTTTTTGCAGTGTATCCATCAGTGGAACCAGGCTGGTTAAAAGCAACATACGAAGGCAAAACAGGACTCGTTCCTGAGAATTATGTTGTCTTCCTCTAGTAATCTTTAGTGGACAGCAATATCTTCATGGTATCCATGGTAACAAGTAATAAGCACTATGATTTTTATCTGACACAGATATGGGATCAGCCCGTTAGCTGAGTGGTAGATTTCCTTCAGATACTGCAGCTGCAGGTTACACAGCTCCCTATCAACGGAACAGAATGTAATGAAACAGTTAACAGTTTCTGTACTGAAGACGGTACTCTGTTTAAATAACTTCCATTGTTTGCAAAAGGTTGTTCTGTTCTTCTTTTATGGGTAAGGAACAGTAGAGCAATAAAATCAAAAAAGTTGCCATTTAGCCGCAGACCTTCAGGTCCTAGGATGTTGCTCACAGACGTGTGAAATTTAGAGGCAATGTGCTCTATGACATTTCTTGCAATCTATAGCTTTTAATAAGGAAAATTGTATTTTTTTTTCATAATGTAAGTAATGCTTCTATTGTGATCTGAATTCTCCCTTAGAAAACTTGATTCTAAAATTAGTCCTAATCATTTCAAATAAGAAATGAATTTTCCATAAATTGGAAATTTGAACTTCTGTTAGTCGTTGAGATTACAATATGTTACAGAATTTATGCAGCTGATAATGAAATCGGTTTATACACTGCCTGAGCAGTAAGTGCTCATTTAAAATGTGATATGGTTTATGAATGTTTCATTCAAGTACTACTTAGATTTATTTCCTCCTTTCTATCAGTATAGATAATATTAACAACTTTTATTTCTATGGTACCAGTCATCAAGATGATATTCTCAGTGTATCTCAGAACAACATCTGTAGAAAACAAGGAGATGCTGAATCTGGAATGATTGGTAGTAATGTGAAGTGAGCAGTGAAAAACAGCAGTATGCTTTGAAACCTGAGATAAATTATAACCGAGTCCTTTTCCAACTTTTCCCATTGCAAATAAGATAAATGGCCTGTGAAGTAGCTAATTTTATAAGCTATGAATGCCGAAAGCTCCATGTAGCAATAAAAGTATTTAGTATTATTTCTCCTGACCTCTGCTAAACTATTTGACAAAGGTTTCTCCCCTTTTACAGAATAAAAAAGCCTTACTTTTCAAAGGTTTTATAAAGACCCATTGATTGCTCCTGGTAGGACTGAAACAAAAAAACACCACCACCACATAAGCAGCTTCCTAAATCTGAACATCTCTTGCACATCTTGGGGGAAAACATGCACTGCTTGCTTGGCTACTTCACCGTGCCCGACTGAAAAACAAGATATTTAAGCCCCATATTAGTAATTCTTCAGCATTAGTGCTACAAGAAGAATTCAGTGTTTAATATCTAGGCTTAGTTTCATAGACCTATCAAGGCTTAGTTCTTTCTTCAGTAACAGAAATCAATATATAAATCTTCTGTTGATTTCTAAGTTGTACACTACTTCCAGAAAGTTTAAGGAAGAACTTCTGTTAGGACTAAAACCATCAGTAATCTTTTAATTGCTTCTTTTTTCTTTCCATAGCCTTTTTCTTGTTTAAATTAGAAAATAAGGTTTATTGCCAACATAAAGAAGCACATCAGAACCTTCTTTACTTGTACGTAGTGCATGATTTCTGCAGAGCAATTCTGTGCTGGAATTCAGGCTTCTGGTAAAAGCGTGCAGGATCCTCCTTGCTAATTAAAGTATGAAGCGGTGATCAGGGAAGGAGAGAGTCTGCAAGAGCATACTCTCCAAAAATGGTCTAGCTTTTCAGAGGGAGAGTCTGGGTAAGACTGACTGCAGGCAGTTGAGGACAGACCCCTTGAATTAGTGACTGAGTGATCTGGGTTCTTTCTTCACTCTAAACAGTTTCATTTAAGTCTCAAGTCGTATTTCACTTCACCTTAAAACCAGACTGTGTGCAGTCCATTGTGATGAAGGGTTGTTCCAGGCATTGTTACTGGCAGTGAAGGCAGACACAAGTGTGCTCATCTAATTTGCCCAGAGCAGATGTGAAAGGAAGTGAAGGTCTTTTCTCATCAGATTGAGCCTTTCTTACTTTTAAGTCAAGCCAAGATTTCTTAGCTCTATAGAAAGCTATGCCTACATAGTAAGCTATGCCTGAAACTGCCAGTGCCCAGAGAAGATCAACATGGTTTTCGTTGCGTTTTTGCTGTATTTTGCAATCCAGAAATTGCAGGATGTCAAAAGACTTACCTCTGGCGACCTTCCCAGGAGTGCTGCTGCAGGCGAAAAGGAGCAGAAAGGGAGGCAGGGCTTTGAGCCCAGGCTGGAGGCCCAGCACACATCTCATGAGGCAGAGAAATGCAGTGGTCTGGGGAAAAAGAAACACTTCTTCTATCTATTGCAGTGGAGTCAGTGGCAGAGACCTGTGTTGGAACATCCTTTGATGACCTCTTATACCTCTTAGGAGGCATTTAATTGTTGTGAAATTCTTGAGGAATGGTGAAATAGAAAATGCTTGCTCTTATTTGCTTTGCTTTAGCTTGATTTACAAAGAAGGCGGGGGGAAGATAACCTTAGGTAATCTCACAGCCTGTGTATTATGTCTGGATATTCTCTGATACTGTGTTTTAAAACCAGTTGATCTGAGTGCAAGATAGTGGGTTCATTAAAAATTTTGTAAAAATGCAAAGTTCAGTTACAGATTAAGTAAGGGGAGTCTGTAAATGTTAAGAGAAAGGTTGTAGAAAGACCTGGAAGAATCCCTGTGAAGGAGAGGTGTTCTGTCTATTCCTATGCATTCATCTCACATTAGACACAAAACTGAATTGCAGACGACAACTTTATAAGAAACTGGATCCCATTGATTCTGCTGCTCACAAAACGAATCTGTATTTTCTTCTGTAAGACTCTACTTTTTCATGCCCTTCTTCTGAACCAGCCATGACAATCATATAAATAATTTTCAAGTAGCTTAGCTTTAAAATGGCATTGCCATCTGAAAAAGGTTATGCCCATTCATAATTACAGTTAACCACTCACTCTTAGTGGGACGAGTAGGGTTATTCATTTTTTGAAACATATTATGTTTTTTTTCCTGTTCCTCTATTCTGCGGTACATAACAAACACTTTCTGTATAATCTCAGTGCTGGGTTGTGGATGCCCCACCTCTTCCCTGACTTTCCAGAAGGGAGTTTATCCTTACAAGAAGATGTACAATGAACTGTAAAGTTAAGTAACTAGATGTTGAAAGACTGAAGTGGGGAAGAGGGCAGTACCACAGCTTGTCTAATGATGATACTCTCAGGCCTGACCAAAAATTCCTTCCGATATTTGCAAAGGATCATAAATCCATAAAACATTTAAAGGAAGATACAATATCTTGATAGTGCCTTACCAGAAAATTAGGCAAGCTGAACTAAATTAGTTCATAGTATTGACCTACTGTTTTTTATGAAAGTCAGATTTACTCTACAAGCAAAGGTTGCGCAATTTTTTTAACTTTAATTATTATTATCCTTCCTGAAAGGGTGCAGTGTTTTTTTACAAATATCACTGTAGAACTCAAGGTAGATGACACATTGTGACTGCTGTTTGTCTTGTGGAAATAACGTCTGTACCCACAACTTAGATAATAAGCCATGTTTTTTCTGTGTTAAACCTTTTGATACATGTTGCAGCACAACATGAATCAAATTAATAGTGTGAAGGACTGATATATTGTATGGTAAATATGTAAAGTATATTAATATTTTATATTCACACTTTTTATTAATGATGATAAAGTTGAAAAATATTTTTGGTGTAATTCCTATGAGTTCAGTATTAAAATGTCCTAGCCATATTTTGGCATTTAGAGTTCTATGTAACAAAACTCTTAAATTAAACCATAGCTGTCACTTATGTCCTTAACTAATCTATGAATTCATTGTTTTATTATTTCTAGAAAAAAATTGTGCACAGATTTGCTGACCAACGATGTTCTATGATAGTAATAGTAACTTATTTTCCTTTTATATATTTTCTGGTGCTAATCTTTCTTCTTTGCCTGTAATTGGATTGAATTATAACGTGCCTTTAGGAAAAGACATGTTAGGAGAGGAAAAGTTGCAAAATTCAGCAGTTCAGAACAATAATTACAACAACAACAAAAAAAGCATTGTATGGCAGTAATTGGATTTGTTTTGTTACATTCCTCCACTTGTCTATTTTCTACTTAAGATTGCTTCAGAATAAATACTGAAATGAAAAAGCATGTTGTTCTTTATACTTCTTTTCCTCAGGCAGCAGTGTGTGCGATTTTGGATTGAGCAGCAAGAAGGGAAATCCCAGTAGGAGAGCACATCCTCCAGACTGGGGTGGATCTTCTCCACTAATGGAAACTCGCAAAGCTCTAGTGAAGTCAAAGACAGACCTTTGGCAATTTGTAGTGAGGGTTTGCTGGCCAGAAGCCCCCAGAAAGTAAATGGAATGTTCTGTTAATGGGGTAACATATGATAAGGCTTGCCATTATCTTTTCTTTCAGCAGAGCGCCCTATATAAATCATTCAATGACGAGAGGTGAATCTATAGGCGAAGTTCAGTCTCGCTCTTTATGGTCACGCAGCCCTGCCAGCCGCTGCTGCCGCGGGCGGCCCTTGCAGTTACTGCTCATGGAAAAGTCAGACTGTTGATCGGGCTGTTTCACTACAAGTTAGAAGGTCTCTCTTTTTGGATAAGATTTTGCATGGGCTTTGGGAGTTTGCTTTGTTTTGTTTTAATAAGGTGCTTGGTATCCAAATTCAGTGTTGTTACTCAGTCACTGATGAGCATAGCATTGTTTTTCTCATCCTGTATGTGGCAGTATTTAATAGGCTGTTGGATTATCCTTGTTATTTTAAGTATAGGGAATGGTGCTTCAACCCTTAGATGTCTCAGCTGAAAGCTATTCTGCATCTGAGCTTTTTGCAATTGTTTTATTGGGAATTGTTGTTAAAGTTCTGGCTCTGAAGATAGCACCATGATCTCAGCACTACAAGAGTTTCTGTTATAGCAAAGGGCAAAGCAGCTGAACAGGACACGTGGGTAGTTTCAATTTTCAATCATATTTATGACAATTTCAGAGGTATTCAAGTTTATAGGGGTTACTTTAGATACTATATGGTATTTTAATAGGAAAGTATATACAATCAATAACTATATATATTTAATAAAGTCCTACTAAATTATCTTATTGAACTCTCTGTTTATTTTGTAGTGTGGTTTCAATAATTATCTGCACTCTGTATATATCTACATGTAAATAACTGGCATGACGTGCGTAAGCTGACTTGCAGGCATAATTCTATGTTGTACTTTACACTGTATTTCAAAAATTTGAAAAAATATTTTTCAAAATAAAAAGCCTTTCTACACAAACTGGTTTCTTCATTATTTTTAAATTTGGGCTCTAGTTCAGCCTTTTCTTTTTTCCAGGCAATAACACTTTTGTGCTACTTCCATCCATACCTGCATTTTTCAATGAAGTTTCACCCATGAGGATGCTTTACGTAGAGGACATTGCTCCTAAGGTTGAGCAATGGGCATGTGTATGAATACTAGACAGTAGGATGTCACCTGCTGTCC